GCCACCCGGTATATTGGATGGTTCAAAATGTCCAGATTCTATCTAATTGACATTCATTGTAAATCCATAGGCCGCAAGTTTGGATGTCCATTGGATGTCCATCCTGTATATCTACTGTGAAACTACTGTGATGAATTGTATATAAGACAAAAATTCTGAAACTACTAGATATGAATTGGACAACTACAGTTCACCAATTGTACAACAATGTGAATGAATTGACCTCTTCATGTATACGTTTTGAACAATATGAATCGAACTCTCCCCCTATGTGTTTGAATATATTTTCTCATAATTTGGTCCAAATAGTTCTTTGCTCGTTGAACACGAAACATCTAACAATCAGACATGAAACTCTATACGTCACTATCTTGGATATTTACTATCACAATCCGTCTTTTGGGACCAATAGGTCTCAGATTATTCAGATGATGAAATGAAATTATCAAATATATACACCTGACATCAGGTGGGCACTTCGAAGGCGCAAATTCATTACTGTATGGGAGATACCCTTCAGATTTTCATCTGTCCACGACTTGACAACCAATGACATTCCGGAAACAACAGTCATTTGGTCTAGGCGATGTCATATGCATTCTTTCAGTCTACTAGATACATTATGGATATCGATAGAAAAGGTGTCACTAATTATACATTGGATGAGCATTCATGTTTATCTGATGGATGTACAATTCATGCCGATGGATATCCAGAACTTTTTTATTGGTATCCATTGTAATAGTGTCAGTGGTATTCCATTGGATAGGCATTTTGGTTCTTCCGATGGATGTTTATTTCTTGTCCATGGACATCCGAATCTTTCTTAGGTATGAACTGGGCATTCATTGGATGGCCTGTATTATAAAGAAGGTGCCGTTTGATGGAATATATTTTTCTCACATGCCTCTAGGAGATTTGTCATTTCGTTATCGGATGACGGTCGTAATTTGCCGCCAGCTATTACAAGTTAAGTAAAAATTATAATTTTGAAATCTCATCGACTCAAAAGAAAATTATTCCACCTGATGTTCCATATTATCAATTCGGTCATATCAATCTAATGAGTTTTTAGTAGATAAATGGCCCACGAAAGATATGAAAATGATCACTGCGGCATTCATTCTAGGAACTTCATTGCCAAAGATTACAGTGAAACGGTTTCGCAGTTATTTCGTACTCATATATTAGCACTGTGATATATTTGTTGATGAAGAAAGCTGTCCAATGATGGTATCTCTGAAGATGATAATGAACCAACAAGCACATTGGCCATGTCCACATATCTCCTTATGGTGACATCTTCTCTTCAATGAATGGCTGTCGTCCTATATAAATTTTGGATGCAGATTTTTCGACTATTTCGATTACATATTTGTCCTGATATAGCATATTATGCCATTGGGACCACTTCGACGACAGGTAGTAAATTGCTAGAATACTCGATGATAATAATAAATATTGCGGTTTCATCATTAGGAAGAGTGCCGATGAAATGCGGTCCTACATGGTTGCAATTACCTCCTTTCCCCAAGATCATTACAACAAATCAGTTTTTTGATGATTGACTGATTGAAATCACAATTATATATCAAAGGAAGGAAGGAAAGCTCAAAATCATCTCCACACCATTTGAGCACGTTGTTAACTCGGTTTTTTGATGATCAGGGACACGTTTCGGTATTAGAGATCATCTTCAGCTCCATTCGAAGTACGATACAAAAAATATGGGTATTAAGGAATTGAAATTTTTTGTAAAAAATTGTTTGTAGACCCACTTGGAGTTGAAATAGTTTAATAAATTTATAAAGTTGAATTAGATATACCTGCCGATGCCCATAGTCACGAGCCCATGTATTAGGATATAATAACGGGTTCTGAAAAATTGTTCTGAATTTTTCTATCCGTCATTAGGTTGGCCCCTTACGAGCAATCCCTAGAATTCTTCGAGAGACTTGTGCGAGCAAGGGATGACCAAACACTTTCTTAGGTCATCAGACACATCTCTGCAGCGGAGAATTGAACTCACGTACACCAGCAAGCAAACGCGAATTAGAGTAGTGACGCCGAGGCTACCTGGGTTCTCATTGATGGAGGGCCTCGTACCATGAGAGCGCGTACAATTATATATTCGATTCAATATCATACAGCAATTTTGGAAAGAACAACCGTTTTTGAAAATGGTCCCTGTTTCATACTGAAAGCACAAATTATTGAGGCAAATATCGAAATATTGATGAGGCAATCAGCCAACACGTATTTCAAATCCAACTGAAAAATTAGAAAAACAGAAAAGTCAATGACATGAGTCAAAGTCAAAGCATAGATGGAACATGAGATTATGGCATTATGAGCAAAGGCATATTGGTTAGGTTAGGTTTAGGTTAAACTTGAGTGGGCCCATGTCCGGCCCTTCATATGGCCTATTATAACATATAACTCAGATATTGTATACAAATAATTGACGAATGTTGAGAGGAAAGAAGAGATAAGTGAGGAAAATGAGCAAAACAGGAAAAAAATAATTAAGTTCTGGAATTGAAACCCATCTTCCAAGAACTCCTTCACAAACTATCCTCATACACCAAACCACTTCAGCTATGCCATCTTTCATCGAGTTCCCTTTCAGGCAGATCGCTCCATGTGGTGGTGGATAAAGTATCGTCTGATAACATTGTCATCAATTCCGGCTTTCCACAAGGATCAACTTGCCCTATCCAAGCTTTGCAGACGATGAAACTCTCCATAATCTGCATTCTCTTCTATAATTCTAATTTCTCTTCAGAAAACTGATGGGAACTTACGACGAAGGCAAGTCAATGCTGTCAATGACGATCAATTCCGGCTTTCCATTAGGATCCACTTGCCCTATCCAAGCTTTGCAGACGATAAAACTTTCCATAATCTGCATTCTCATCTAGAATTCCCATTTCTTTCCAGGATACTCAGAACTTACGACGAAGGCAAGTCAACCCTGCCAATGACGATCTTGCTGAAGAACAGCCTGGGCATTGTCGTTCTAGATGACAACCTAGTAAGGTAGTTAGTAGGCAGAAGCATACCTCCTCGCACTAGGTCGCCTACTAGGTTTTCATTTAGATCGACAATGGCCTGGGGAATCAAAAACCCAGATGAATTCATCGCCATAAAAACTCAAGTTTGTATTTCCTCTAGAAAAGCAAAACTCTGCAGTATGCCTAATATAACTAACAATGTCTGGTACTACCATTTCCACCTGGACCACTATATCGTTGCTCGGTATTGTCATCAACAATTCCGTGCGGAGATCTATTGTACACCTCAACCGCTTTTCACGATCTACAAAGCACATACACAGGTAGTTTCAGATGACGGTTCTCACATTATGGGGTTCAGCACCCAAGTATACGCTGATCCTCTTAGATTCTATCCAGAGAAGAGCCATCCGCCCGGTGGGTAATGCCACACTCACTTATACGTTGACTCCTCTAAAACACCGTAGGGAAATGGGCGACCTTTCGTTTTTTCATATATACTTCCACGGCAAATGTTCCTCAGAAATCGCTGCTATCATTCCATCACTAGAAATACCACTCAGACAAACTCGACAGGCCCAGTCAGCACATCCTCACGTTGTGAACCTTGAAATAAGTCGAACAACACTCACACAAAACTCATTCGTCTATAGAACGGCAAAGCTTTGGAATTCTATGACAGTGCAAGTATTCCCAAGAACTCATAACCTCCGAACGTACAAAAAAATTCAAACACCTCCCTCCTCCCCCTATCCTTTTTAGGAACGCAAGATGCTCTTGGAACTTCCATTTTTCACTATAAATGAAATGAAATGAATCATGCAATGTTGCCAAACATAAGGACGCAATAAGATACTCCAGATATAAATACTGGAATTTCGTATATTTTTCGTATATTCCGCTCTGGCGGAAGTCTTCTGAACTACAATGTATATTTTCTGTTCATTTACGCATAATATTGCGTCCGATGTGCTACAAGACTTTTCCGCATATCTCGAGTATTTGGACAGATAGACCAGTCAATCTCAGATCTATCGATAGGTGGAGGCATGGGCTTTCAAAACACATTTTTTTACATTATTTCAAGCAGTTCTATCCAAAGTTTAACGTTGATGACATTATCGCGTCCATATATGGACGCAATAAATAGAAGGACGCAGTAATAAATGTAAAAGGACAATGATTGGACGCAATAATGATAGCAGGATGTATATATATATATATATATATATATATATATATATATATAAATACATTGAGAATTCGCATTCCTAATGTGATGAAAATATCAATTTTTTCAACAGAACAAACTACTTTCCTGGCTATATGCCACGACGAATATTGAATTACATCTATTGAACACACACGATAAGAATTTGAAAACATTATCTTCTGAAGTAGAGAATTTGCATTCTCCTTTATATCCAAAAAGAGAGTATGAAAGATCAAAATCCTCTGAAATTGAGAATTAACATAATCTCTCAATTCTGAATATCCAGAATGAGAGCATGAAAGATCAAAATCCTCTCAAATCGAATAGAATAATTTGATGTATTATAATATAAAAAACCAATGCCCGATGACAGTGCTAATATCAACAAATTATAATTCTCAGATTTCAGTAAGTTAAATTTTTATAGTTCATTCCGCGAACTAACAAATTTATCACATATACCTACCTATTCCTGTTTTTTTAGTTCGAAAGATATATGTAATTGTATTGATTGGTAGATACCTAGATATTCATGGAGTACTTATATGGATTCGAAATTTCAGAGCACATTCATCAAGTTATCTCAATTCGATCGATGAATAACCATAGCGAACGATTCATAAAGGGTACTGTGTACCTACTGGCTATAATATACCGTATGGAAAAAGTCACATTTCCAATGGTTATTGACAAAAAGGGAGGTGGAGAGATATAGTGAATCATTGTCATGATGATTTTCAATAATTTATTCAACATTTCTCAATTTCTCTCAGAGACATCCTGAGAATGGTGGAAGATCCTGCCCACACCGTCTATCCCAAAAACGAACCTGCTGGATCCCTTGCCGTCGAGAAGCACCAAATGATAAGAATCCAGATTTCGATATCAACTCTTCTATGGAGGAAAGAGATGATGGAAGTCTTTGTGAAATGTCAGAATGGACTGCGTGGAGCCCTTGTAGTTCAATATGTGGTTCCAATGCGAAACAACAAAGAACAAGGAAAATCCTCAATAAACCATCAGGACTATCGCCGTTAGACTGTCCTACTAGACTAGACCTCAAGCCTTGTAATTTACCTATAGCCTGTACTGATGATGGAAAGCCAATTTTATTTTGAATTGCCTATCAATTTTTTAGTTTCAGTAGGTATTCCAGATGTTATTATACAGGTTGTTTTTCATCTCTACACAAAAATACATACTCAGTGCTGTAACTGAATGATGTTAGCTACTCTTTGTTTAAAATCATCTCGGTCCTGGCATATTTTGGTCCTCCTAAATATTCAGTGCTGTAACTGAATTATGTTAGCTACTCTTTGTATAAAATCATCTCGGTCTTGGCATATCTTGGTCCTCCTAAATGTATTCAAATGAAAATACTGTTATCCACAAGTATATTTTTTTCTCAGAATAATGTTCATCATACATAATTTTTGATTTTCATTCAGACCTACCTACTCTGTACCTCACGATAACAGGGATAAAACGATCTATACAGACAGACATACTGCGACCCTACCTGGCCTCTAGACTAGATATTGGATTGCATTTTAATTACTTTTTTCAACTTTTATTCGTTTTGTTTTCAATATATACCTACTAAGGTGATCGTCGATAATACTACTAATTATTCGAAATTCTATATCCTTGTTTCAATAAAAAAATATAAGTTTCATTTCATGATATATATGTACAGTGTGACCCACTTCTAATGGAAACACCCCTGTATCTTACGTAATCGTTGGGACAGGATCCTGAAATTTGCTGGAGCGAGAGGTGTACCAAAAATACACACTATGACCAAGTGGGGTCATCTTCAGTGATATACACTGCTCGCCAACAGCCATGGAACCACCCCAATTTCCGGAAAATGATATTAGGAGTCAAAATAGGTCAAAAATCACTTCAGATTCGGAATCAGGATGACCAATTATCTAACTATTCATATTGTTCCTGGAAAATTTTCAGTTCTGAAAAATTAAATTTTGTCGCACTTTTTACGGATGCACCCCCGTATCTTACATAATTGAGCCTATCTTTGGACTTTCCCTTTCTCCTGAAAATTTCAGAACCCTACCTCAATAATTACGTGAGATACGGGGGTGCTTCCATGAGAAGTGAGACAAAATTTAATTTTTCTGAACTGAAAATTTCCTAGGAAAACTATGAATAGTTAGTGATTTGGGTGTCCTGATTCCGAATCCGAAGTGATTTTCAGCCTATTTTGACTCCTAATATCATTTTCCGAAAATTGGGGTGGTTCCAGGGATGTTGGCGTGCAGTGTATATCACTGAAGATGACCACACTTAGTCATAGAGTGCATTTTTGGTATATCTCTCGCTCCAGCAAATTTCAGGATCCTTACCCAACGATTACGTAAGATACAGGGGTGTTTCCATTAGAAGTGGGTCACACTGTATAAGTATAAATGTAGAATGTGCGGCTGTTTCAAAGATAAAAACAGGAAACGTCTTCCTCGCAAATTGTTCTTCTGCTTATATTAATTGATATTTCGAAGACGCAGGGTACATAACATCAAGCTTTAGTCATGTTGTAGCCATCTAGTGGCAAAACTCTGAGGTAGGATCCAGAGATCGCGACACACACTGTATGGCGCTGCCATCTATAGTCACACGTACATACCCTACGTCTATACGCTACAGAGTGGTACTACAAGTAAACCACTCTGCTGTCAGATGAGACTACCTGACATACTTGAGTGGAATGCATGCAAAAAGCTCAAAGTCATTTCCACACAGTGTTCATGAAATTAACAACAATAATAGATTTCGGGAGGAAAACAACTACTTCCCTGGCTAATGCCAAGCAGGACATTGAATTACATCCTCCCGAAATCTATGCATCAACTCGTTTAAACGAATACTGATACAAGTGATTCTTTCCTGAATGCCTATCGATTTCGATTGAGCCAGGCCGCTAGACAACCACAGACCGGTTTCGAGCTCTTTGACTCTCATCAGTGCAGTGTAGTCTGCAGCCAGCAGTCCTAACATCGCCGACTCAGCGAAGCCTAGCCAAACAAAAATCAAGTCGGCATTATATTCACCCCGAGGCGTCTTTCATCGACGAAGTAACGCCATCTGAGTAGAACAGAGGAAAGAATCACTCCAAAACTGAAATTCCCATACGGGAGTGGCTAGTTGCCCGACTGGCGTAATTTCGGTCTGTGATTATGTCTAGCGGTCTGGCTTAATCGGAATCAATAGGCACTCAGGAAAGAATCACGTGTATCAGTATTCGTTCATACAATTCGATGCATAGATTTCGGGAGGATTGTTGTTCATTTTATGAACACTGTGTGGAAATGACTTTCATCTTTTTGCATTTATTCAACATTTCATTCCACTTTGAGCATTGTGGCTATTTCGTACTTGAGTCGATTCTTTAACCACCTATTCTACTGCTGAATCCCATAACTAAGAGATCCAGGATGAACAGAGTTGCCCAAATTGTCATCAGGAGCGAGACAGTACTGTTTCGACCCACCAGATCTCATCTGGTTCAGCAGTTGCATAGGTGGTGGAAAAATCCACTCAAGTATGTCAGGTAGTGTCACCTGTCAGCAGAGTGGTTTACTTGTAGTAGCACTCTGTGGCGTATAGACGTAACGGTCTGTACGTGTGACTATAGATGGCAGCGCCATACAGTGTCTGTCGCAAAATGGGTGATATACCCGAAGCGTAGAGTTGTCCCAGTTGTCAGCAGACCGAGAGCGGCTGATGAGACCTGGTGGGTCGAAATAGTACTGTTTCGCTTTTGCTGACAATTTGGGCAACTCTGTTCATCCTGGATCTCTTAGTTATTAGATTTAGCAATTGATATTCCGATGAGAATCAACTGATTTCTCCTCACTATATACAAATAACTGCACACAAAACGGCCTGTGCTGTTACTTCTGGATCATTTCGGTCAGGAGAAGTTCCTTCTGTATGTGAGACAATCTCCTGAATCCAGGAATATAAAAATATACAGGGTTCCTTTTTGAAAATCAGAAGTTGGGGTTGCTTCCAGGTTAACCGGAAGTGATCAAATAAGTGCCTATTCTCTTTTTGACAAATGAACATTCTGTTATAATATATATATCTACCCACCAAATTACAAAATCTGATTCCGAATAGTCCTGAACTCATAGCACTGGCCATTTCTTGTGTAGTCTATACAGCTCTGGAAATTTGGAATAGAAAATTCTAATTCACCTCAACTTTTTCTAAATTGCACCCTGTATAATTATTTCTCAATGCCGTATTTTGAAAATACCACTGTGATACACTTTTTAGTTCATATGTATTTATAAAAAAAATTACTTGTTCATTTGGGTTTTATTTCAACTCGGCACCTGAAAAAATTCGTATGCAGGGTCTTTCAAATTCGATCCTCACCATTGGGATATCGGAAACTATGAGAGACACGATGATGGTTAAATTGGGGTGAAGTTGCGCATTTACCCTAACTTGAAGTATGTCCGGAGATATCCAGAAAAAAAAGATTTTGAAACATCGATTTTATTTTTTGCTGGCTTCATTTATTGTAGGATTTCGAAATGAATCGTAATTCCGCATTTTCATTTTATCTCTACTACATGATGGTGCTTTCAAATCTGCCAACCAACGTTTCATCTCCCGACCACCATCGCATCATCTTCATTTTTTCCAATGAGCGCCATATTGTTCTTTTTCTGTTTTGAATCATTCTTCCTGAGAAAATCGGAGATATTAAGAAAATTTTCACAGTAGACATTTTTTATACGCTATACCACGTTTCCTTGGTTTGCTTGACCACGCTTTCGGGTTTTTTTATTGCTGCTTTACCACAGATATTACATGCTTCACCGCAGTAATTTTCCGTATATCACTGGGCCGATAACCTGATGAAGATTTTCCGTTGTATACGGAAAATAAAGCAGCTAAAATTTGATTGTACTATTTTACTTTTTTAATATTCTCTATCACACGATATCGACATCTTATGACAGTTGTCACACACCTTTTATTAATTTATTTCACAAAACCATAAAACCAAGGTATAAAACATAGCACAGACTGATTATATTCCATGCAGTCAAGTATCATAAAACATAATTAGCAGAAACAGAAATGTTTGTTGTCAACATTTTTACAATTTTCTCTTAAATAATTCCTATCTATATCAGACAGAGCTGCCATTGCTTGAAATTTCACATATCATGGAAGATGAGATCTCCTAGAATGAATGACATAAAAAGTACCTTATTGATTTATCGAACACAGTTGAACAATAATTTTCCACTTGTATATGACTTGCAGCATTGGCCATCTGCGGCTGAAGTCACAACGTCGAAGGTCGAACGCTTGGATGATAAACAAACCGTGTGGAGGTATTCTGTTCATGAGTTTATAATTATTTTTGCTTTCATTTTACTGCTTTGTTGCTAACGAATAAGTTGTTATTTGTGTTTGTTATTTGATATTGTGATAGTCGTGTTGAACTTCTACTGCAGATATAATTTATACATATTGAATTTAATGTTTTTATCTCTGATCCAAATCTTCTGATTTTGAGGGGCTATCATGTACATCTACAGATTGTAACCGAATAATATGCCGAATTTGTGTATGGTAGTGAATTGCGGCAGTACTGGAATGGGAGACAGTGTCAGATTTTTTAGGATTCCCTCAGTTCTAGACAATAACAGAAAAGAAAACAGCTTATATAGCCAAAGAAAGAAGAGCTGCTTGGATCCAATCCTTGAGAAGGAAAGATTTGACCGATTCAAAGATAAAATATGGGAGAGAATATGTTCAAAGCATTTTATATCACGTAATTGGTAATAGAATGGTTCATCCACCTGACTTGTTTCTGAATTAGAATATTAATTTCAGGAAAACCAGCTGAACTTATTAAGGATAGAAACCATCCTGATTGGGTTCCTTCTGTAGATATGGGGTACAAGTCCACAAATTTGAGCAAAGACAGTACAGGTGATAGATATGAGAGACTTCTCGAAAGAAAGCGAACAGAAATATGTGCAATACTCCAGGTTTGTGGAATTCTGTTCACCAATGATTATTCCTATGTAAACTGTATAGATACTTGATGAATTTCTCTTCTTCTTCTAGGTAGCTAATAGATCTAATTCTCCTCAATCAAATAGTGGTGTTCAAGAAGATGGACATGATATTCTGGATCCTTTGCTCCCACAATGAGGAACTTGGAAGTCTAAGATTAGAAGTCCAGAATTTACATATTGAAAAGCAGAAATTACAAAAAAAGTCCAAATGTTGGAGTTTGATGTAGACAATTTCGAATCAGATGATAATTTCACTCTGTATTATACTAGTTTTCCTGAATTTGCTTATGTGAATGCTATTTTTGAATTAATAGAAGACAAATTGTCCACTGCCTCTGCATTAACAAAATTCAAGCAG